AAAGTTTTCAGGATGGAGTTTCCATTTAGGGCAGGGTCCCAATCCCAAGGATGCCCCTCACACCTTCTCTGGTGAGATACCCCTACACAGTTACCTCTCCCCCAACCTTCACCTACCCCCACCACCATAGGCTTCTGCCCCTCTGGGGTCATCACCACCACCACCACCCCTGCCCACCCACTCTTCCAATCAAAGCAAACAGCGAAGAGACACGCATCTCATAAATCCAGGAGAGCAAGTGAAGGAGAACCTTCCAAGAGCATTTCTGTGCCACAGATGGGTAAGGCTGACAGCAGAGAGGATGCAGGACAAGTGCCAAGCATAAGAAGGGATGCCTTAAGCAGGACTCACTGGATCAAAAGTTCAGAGGAACAAGAGTCCAGGCCAAGCTATGGGAACTCTGAGAGCTCACGGAGCCTTTTGGTTTCTGGGTTCAGGGAGGGCCTCAATCCCTGATGGGGTCTCTGAGCCCCATCAGCTCATGTTCCCACCCATGGAGGGGAACTAAGCTTTTTTCCAGAGATGGTAGAAGGATCTCTCCCGAGCCACAACTTTCTCTTTGTCTCCCTTTCGCAGGATTCAGCGGGGATTTTTTTTGTCTGTCTCTGCTCTCTCTCTCTGCCGCCCACCCCCCCACACACACCGTCTCAGATAATTTCTTGGGGACTCTGCCTTGGGGCTCACGCTCTCCAGTGTATAGGTAACCTGACCTTCATCATCTGTTTTTTATATTTTAAAACATCAGCTTCACTTCCTACCTGGAGGAGGCAGGGGCTGAGGAGCAGGCTGCCTGACTCCACCCCTCCATCCCCCTTCATTTTAGAATCAGTCCCTCCCCCAGAACCTTGCCCCAGAAAGGACAGAGCTGAGGCCCTGTACCTGCTCTGGGGCATTGTGGCCATCAGGTGGCTGAGCCCAGACCCAGATTCATGGTCTACCCTCTCAGTTGGGAGCTCTGGGGAGGGGCGGCCACCAGTGAGAATTCTTCTGATCAATTGCTGGTTTGCTGATTTGGGAAAAAGTTAAAATTACAGGTCTCGATAAACCCCAGGAGGCTGAGAGATTTCACTAGTGGGAAGCAGGGTAGAAAGTGTTTAAAGTCATTTCTGCCTTTAGGCAGAGTTACAGCCAACCAAATTGTCTAACATGCTGTCGCAGATGTTTGTTTGTTTAATATTATTAATACTAGCAGTAGATTACACATACTGAGCGCTTGTCTTATGCCAGACACTTTGTTTTGGCATTTCGTTCTCTCAACAACTTTATGTTGTAGGTACTATTATTAACCCGTTTTCCTAATTAGGAAACTTACACAAAGAGAGTGTAACTAACTTGCCCAAGGAAACTCAGAGCTGAGATTAAGTGTCTGATTCCACTTCTTAATCTCTTTACACAAGTCTTCCAAGACCTGAAAAATGCATTCTGTACGGTTCCTTTAAAAGAACATAAAGCCACAGAATTCCCAAGAACATACCCTCCAGAGCCTCAGGGACTCAGTTACCCCAATTGCAGAAGTATTGTGTATAACTCACTTTTGGGAGAACTTGAAGAACCAGCTAGCAAAGACAGAGTGGAAAGCCTAGCAGAAGGTATTTCAGGAAGGAGATACTGGGAGGAAGGGACCTAGAGGATAGGCACTAGGCAGATGATAGCAGCAAGTCAGGAGCCAGCACCACACCAGCCCTAGAGTCTGGCTTTCTATAGGAAGAGTTGGGGTCAGCTCCTGGAGGCCTGAGGCCAGTTCAGTTTATCCTCCAGGTTTTTGAGCAGGAGAGTGACACTCCAAAAGAGGTGTTCAAGACCTGGACTGGAAAGAAAAGAGTCAATAATAAAGAACACTAATGGAAGGCTGGTATTACAATCCTGACAACAGCATGCAGAAAGAAGGTACCCCAGAGACTTGTCCAAAGAAATGCAGCCTGGGCCATCTGCCTCCTTCCCAAGCACTGGTAATCAAGTTAGTGTTTTGGATGGGGGCAGGGAGCTGGAGAGCCAGATAACATAGTGTCCAAAGCACTGAGCCTTCTCCTGCTAGTACCAACACTGCTCTGAGGGCTGTGGAGAGCACTTTGCTTGGGGACAAGGGGGAATGACTCCCATCTGAAGATAGCACAAGGGATTTTAAGCAGGACATTGGCCTGAGGACTGTAGCCTGTGAGGCCCAGGCTATGGGTCCTACTTGGTGTTAGAGAAGTAGACATAGATCAGGGGCCTATAGTAGCATAACATAGTGTTTGGTGTCTTTCAACTTGAAATAATTCCTCTCCCTGGGTGGCACAATATATAATAAGCAAATAAGCAAAATTTGATTAAAAACTATCAATTCAGAAACTGTAATCTGCTCAGAAACTTCAATCCTTTTATTTCAAAAGCCAAAAGCCTTTTGACCATCTCAGATTGTATGTCTGTGTGTCTGAGAGTGGGTGAGAGTGGGAGAGGGAGACAACTGAAATTCCTTTGTTCCTATGAGGCTCCCATTTGGTGGGCTTCTGTGTATGTGTTGTGTGTGGGTGGGTGTATGTGTGTGTGTATGTGTGTGTTACCTGTACGTTTGTGCATTTCTCCAGCCCTGAATGCACTGAACTTTCAAACCATAACAAAAATACTGAAGCTTGGCAGAAATATCACAGGAATAATTATCTAATTTCAGAACATGTTATTATAATACCTACATGATGTGTAATGAACTTAACAATGTTCACGTTATAGTCACCCACAGGGAGCTGTAGACCCACAATATCAAGCCCTACCCTCAGAGGCTTCTCCAAGACATGAAAGCAGAGCAGGCCCCAAAGAAAGTTCTTCAAGGAATATTCCTCTGGCAAAGGTAACTCATGGACTGAGATGTTTGGCTGGGTAAAAAATCCACGGGGCATTTTCCAGAAGGGGGACAGAGTCTATCCTGGGATGGCAATTGCTCCTCCCAGTCCCCTCCCCAATAGAGGAGACCCAGAAGGAAATCACAGTCATATTGGGGCCCCAGAGGCAGATGAGCTTTCCCTGACTCAGCTGTGGGCCAGTGGGCCTCTGATCCACCCAGCTTCCCCTCTCCCCCCCCAGAGGCTGAATTGGACTGAGACAGAGTGCGAGGGAAATGTTTGCTGTTTGCTGCTGTTCCCTGTTGACTTTAGCCAGTAGCTCTGTTTACAAACCCAGGTTGGTTTTCCCAGCACAGTTAATTAGACCAAGGACATCTGGTGTGAGGGCTGGGGAGGGCATCTGCTCAGAGCCTTCCCCCAACACCAGGCAGCCATGGGCCAGTACAGGGCAGAGCAGTTAAACAGGAACAGACCAGACCAAAACCAAAGCTCTCAGAGGGATCATGGCTTCCCTCACCCTGCCTTTTCCATGATGGCTAAGTTAGCCGGGGGGCCCCCACTCTCTAAATCTTACAGAACCAAGAATCAGTGTTGGATGGCCTACCTTAGTGGGATCATAGCCTGACAAGAGAACTGAACCCTCTCCTCTGCCCTTCCATGTTCAAAAGAACAGAAATATCTGTTCCCTTTCTCAGTAGAGACCCTGCTTTCTATAGGAAGCCCATCTCTTCTGAGAAAATTTCCCCTTTTTGGACACCCCCTCAGAAAGGAGGCTTTGGATCTTTCTCCTCCCCAACCATCCATTCCCAGCCAACCCTGACATTACTGGGAGGGCAGAATAACTTGCCCAGAGGGAGGCCGGAGGGTGCCCAGGGAGGTGAGAGGATCTAAGCGGACAGTTTCAGGGCGGTGGGGAAATGGAGAACTGGGGGGGGGGGGGGAGCAGCAGCTTATCTCTCCCCGGAGGAGGGAGCTTATTCCAAACAGCTAATGCACTGGCGTGTGAAAGCCCCTCAATTAGCACTAATGATGCAATCAGGGAGGGAGGGGGAGGAACCAGAAGTTCTAGTGGAGTCAGCACCAACTTCACACAGGGTACACACTCCCTTCCTGGGACACAGTGGCCCCTTCGGACATATTGATGCATACATCCCACAGACGTACGTGGGCACAAATGAACTCTTTTGCACGTGGTTCGTGATCCGCTGCTGACCCGTCAGACCCCTGGGATTTCAGGGATAAGCCATGCATCCCCGGCTAGGTATGGGGATTCAGAGACAAGGAAATCAAAAAAGTCTTGGCAGAACAGGGCATCTTAGAAAGCTCAGGATTACTCCTAGGAGCCCAGAGTTCCCTCCCACGCGCGCGCGCAGGTGTCAACCCGGCTATGCCTGCTTCCACAAACCGCCCTCCACCTCACCCTAACCCAGAATCCAGGGCAGAACACGGAGCCCCCCCCCCCGCAGCCCCACCCGCGAGAGGCGTTCCCAAGCTCGTTCCGTTGGCCCAGCTCGCCCTGAATCACCGGGTCCCGAGGAGGAAGCTCTGGGATCACAGGGATCCCCGCTCCCGGGCCCCAGCTGCTCATCCCCTCTGGAACCCGTTACTCGCCAGCCTCGCCCCTTTACCTCCCCCACCCACCCACCCACCCACTCTGCGGGGCCAGCTCCGTCATCGGCCTCCCTGTCCCGTTATCCGGCCTCCCTGCCCCGTTATCCTCCCTCGCTTTGGACCAGAGCCCCAGCGAGCCGCGGGATCGCCACCGCCCCCTCTCGCGCTTCCCGGCCTGAGCTCTGGGGGCCGCGGGCTGGGCAGGGCCGGAGCCGCCTCCGCGCCGCTTCCCAGGCCCGGACGGCCGCGGGAGGAGGTCCCGCTGTCAGTCAGCAGGGAAGGCCGGCCCGGGCGGCCGGAGGGGGCGGTGCCGAAGACGGGCTCGCGCCGGGAGCGGGAGGCGGAGGGGCGGGGGCGGGGGCGGCTCCGGGCCTTATAAGCGGCGGGGGCAGGGCGGGAGGGAGGCAAGTGTCAGGCCGATGTGCCTCCTGCGAGGGGCCGGGGTCGGGGCTGCCGGGGCCATGCGCGCGGGCTGGGCAGGGGGCCGCCGGGGCTCAGAGCGAAGCCGCCTCCGAGCCTGAGCCGCCCGGGGCCGGGGCCGGGGCCGGGGAGCCGCGCGGGGCCGGCCGGCCGGGGGGAGGGGAGCGATGCGGCGCCGGCGGGCTGCCGTGGCCGCGGGTTTCTGCGCCTCCTTCCTGCTGGGCTCCGTTCTCAACGTGCTCTTCGCACCGGGCTCGGAGCCTCCGCGGCCAGGCCAGTCCCCGGGGCCCTCGCCGGCCCCGGGCCCGGGACGTCGCGGGGGCCGTGGAGAGCTGGCCCGGCAGATCCGGGCGCGCTACGAGGAGGTGCAGCGCTATTCCCGCGGGGGTCCTGGGCCCGGGGCTGGCCGGCCCGAACGGCGGCGCCTGATGGACCTGGCTCCGGGCGGGCTGGGCCTGCAGCGTCCCCGGCCCCCGCGGGCCCGGCCCGTGCCCGACGGCGCCCCGGGCTGGCCCCCGGCTCCCGGCCCGGGCCCGCGCCTGGGCTGCGCCGCGCTCCGCAACGTGTCTGGCGCGCAGTACGTGGGCTCAGGCTACACTAAGGCAGTGTACCGCGTCCGCCTGCCCGGCGGGGCCGCGGTGGCGCTCAAAGCGGTGGACTTCAGCGGCCACGATCTGGGCAGCTGTGTGCGCGAGTTCGGGGCGCGGAGGGGCTGCTATCGGCTGGCGGCCCACAAACTGCTCAAGGAGATGGTGCTGCTGGAGCGGCTGCGGCACCCCAACGTGCTGCAGGTACGAGGGTGGAGCGCGGGGGTGAGGGGGCTGGCTTGGAGCGCCCAGGCCCTGGTCACTCAGGCTGGAAAAGAACGTCTTGGTCTTACAGAAAAAGAAATGGGGCACCAATGGTGCCCATGTTAAGCTAGGTACAGAACCAGCACTAGGGCCCTTCCTATTGCACCACCCTGCCTCTTCTCTTTACTCAGCGATTTCTGGGTTTCTCAGCTTATACACATCCCTTAACGACAGGGGCCAGGACAGAGAGCCCCGGAACTCTAAGAATGGGGCAGTGCTACGAATTTAGGACCGTGCGTCTGGCTGGAGCTAGAGTATTGAACATCAGGATATCACCTCAAGCCAAAATAATCCCAAGCCAAGACACCGAACATCCCTGGCTGAGACAGCTCCCAGATGCGTGGTAGAGTCTCCCATATTGATGGAATATGAACCCCAGTTCTTTCAACTCCCAGTGATTTGTCTGACTTTAAAGATGGGGTGGGACTGCAATGGAGGTGGGAAGGGCTGGAAAGAGACTGTGTGGCAGGCTTGATTCCCATAGAGTCCCACACACTCAGCCAGAAATCACTGGAAGGGAGTGAGGGAGTTGACCAGAAAATGTACAGCCTTTCCCAGAAGTGACCCTGAACCCTGGGGCTTAAAGTGGGTCCACTTGAACCACTGGGAAGCCTTAGGATCTTAGGCAAGTGAACAGACTGAGGGCCAGAGGCTCAGAATCAGTGAGAATCTGCCTCTTCTGTTCACTGGGGGACAGGCAGGAGAGATGAGACCCCCGCCTTATCTCCTCCAAGCAGAGCTTAAAGTAAGTGCACAATCCCTCAATGCTCTAACATACCCTGCTTCCTCTCTCCCAGGTCTCAGTCCTTAAGTCTGCTTAGGATGAGACAAACTGTTCCTGCTGCACATGTCTGAGCAGACTGAGGGGAATCCCTAACTGCTCTAGCCCAGTGATCATAGGGTGTATGCACTCCCCCCAGCAGTGAATGTCACCCATGACTCCCACCACCTGACCCACTCAGATTCACCTTTCTGCACCCAGTAGAACTGACCAAAGACCAAGAGTCCCTTCTTTCCCTGTGAAATGGGACCCTCGGCCCTGAAATAGGATAGGTAAGAAAGCTCCCTATATTCCTGCTAGCTCCCAGTCTCCCCCCTGGACACCACCACCCTGACCAGACACTGTGACGGGGTCCTGGGCTCTGCACTGGTCACATGTCGGGCAGAGCCCACAGTTGTGTGCAGTTATGCCTGGCTGCCTGGCTAACACTGTGTCTAGAGCGCCAGGGAGTGAGTGACTGGTTACGTGGCCATTCTAACTGGGAGGATCTTGTTCTCTTCACTTCCTGGGGGCTCTTGAGAACTTTCTGGAAATCCTGGGGTGTCAGCCAGATTCTGAGAGGGTGGAGAGGTCTTGAATTACTTAGCCGAACTTTAAATGTTAGTTAATTGACTTAAGACCCCCCCTCTCTTAGGACAGGTTTGCTTTTGGTGTGTCTTCCTACATCTCTGAGAACTTCTCCCTCACTGACCTCTTCAAACTTTCTGACAAGCCTCCAGCTAGGCCCACAGAACACCAACCACAGAATGGTCGCTCTGTGTATGTCAGGCCCTGGTGCTGAAGGTGCCACAGAGGAAAACAACAACAACAACAAATTACAACTGGACAGTTTTCTCCCATTCCGTCATCAAGGCTGGGCCTGTCTGGGTTGGCTGAGTGACTCTCACAGGGTCAGAGCCTGGAGTCAGCTGAACTTAGGCACAAGAGTTACTAAGGTAGCTAGGACCCCAGGGAAAAGTAAAAAGTAGGGTCCCCTAGTGCGTTTTTGGGTTGAGTCTGCCCTGCTTATCCCCTGAACTCCCAGGCCAGTGTCCCTCTGGCTTCCTCAGCTATGCCACCTCTGCAGCCAGGGAAGTCTGTGGTGGGGGTCTTCCTGCTCCAGGGGCTTTGGTTGAGGTGTGCCGGGAACCAGAAGGAACCAGAAACCGTGTTGTTTTAATACATTTTAATCATTTCAAAATTTCAAACCCGTTTGTTTGCTGAAGTGGGGAGAAACCAGAGGGAAGGCTTCTAGCGTAACCAGTCACTCAGGCTCCCGAGGCCCCCAGCTCTCAGCAGCCTTAGTTGGTGCTGTCAGCTCTAATAGAAGGGCCCGCTGTGCAACTCCCAATGTGCACTCCAGGATCTTTCTCTGTCTGTGTGACACCTCCCCATCCCAACACACAAACGCCCTCTCTCCTCTCTCTTCGCCCCCCTCCCCCGCCATCTCTCACACACGCTTCCTCATGTGATAGATGCCTCTGCAGCCCAGGGTCAGAGGGCACAAGGCTCTACCTCCCCCTCAACTCTGTCATCCTGGGAACTTCAGGCTTCAGATGGACCCTAAGCCTGCTTGGGCCCAGATTCTGGCCATGCTAGAGTATATTATTTCTTCTCTCAAATAGAACAAAAGATGTGACTGAAATGCTCAGCCTCACGCTTCCTGGGGGGGGGTTAATGGTGTCTTTTTATTTTTTTCTGAGGGGTGTTGATTAATACCTCGTTAACAGCGCATTTAACGACCTCCGGGTGTTTAATAACCTTCAGAAGTTTCCCACAAAGGCTCAGACTCTGGGCAAGAAAATGAGAACCAGGCCCCAAAGCTGCTCCCCTTACCTTCCCCCTACCTCACCAGGGTCTGAAGCCTCCCTGGGCTGATGGGAGGGTGAAAGGGGAGAGAAAAAGAGGATGCCTGGAACTGCCCTTAATACCCCATCCCAACCCACCCACCACCCAAGTGATCTGATGGCCTAACACTGAGGTGCACCTTCTGTGATTCCAGCAGAGTTGGGGCAGCTGACTCTGGGGAAGGGGAGCTGGAAGGGCACCTCTGGGGAGGAAAGGGGGCACAGAGGGGGCTGGGAAGGGTGTGAATGATGGCATGACTAGTGACAATGTGCAGGAACATTAGGCCACGGACTCTTACCACCGTAGCTCTCCCCTCTCCCTAGTCTGGCCTGGACAACTCAGCTTTTGTGTCCGTACCCCACAGGGTGCTGGTTGTTGAGAGCCCATTCTGAGCCCCTACTACTGTGGGGTGTGCTGGGAGAGGCTCAGAGAAGCAGGGCTCCCTGTGGACGCTGGTGTAGGTGTTAGTGGCAAAGTCAGGCTGTGCTTCCCCTGATCAGCTGGGTGGTAGCAAGCCTCTCCCCCAGATGATATGATGTGGGCAGCTCCTTATAACCATGCCCCCAAGAAATTGATCTTCCCTGAGAACCATCCCTCACTACAACCCCCTTGACACATGTCACCCACCTGCATATGCCAAGAGCACCCAGGGATGAGCCTCTTTGCTTTTTCTCCCACAAAACCCTACAAAGAAAAAAAAGAAGAAGCAGCTGCAAGAAAGTAGGAATGGTAAGGAACAGACTAGGATTGGAGTTGGGGAGAAAGGATGGTAATCATTTGCTGGGTTGTGTATTAGCAAATGGTATTCTTGGAAAGAAGCAGTTTGTGGAATCCGAGTGGTATAATTGAATCCTACCTCCTGTGTTTATTAGCAGTGTGACCTTATGCAAGCAACTTAACCTCTCTGAGTAGGTTTCCCACCTGAAATTGGAGACAGTAATAACAGTACCCACTGTGCCCTTCAGGGTTATTTATAATATATTGAATTCTGCATGTAGTGCATTTAGCATGGTGCCTGGCACCTGGTTAACATGTGGTGGCCAGACCTGCCCATCACCCTGAGTGGCAAGAGGTGAGAAGCTGGTGTAGTCAGTCAGTAGGAACTGCCAGCAGCAGGAAGAGGGGGCAGACCTCCCAGGCAATGCTGCTATTCTCCTCTGGCCTGAGCTGTAGCAAAGGCCTAGGAATGGCCTCAGGCCAGAGGGAGGGGGCATCTGACAGTCCAGTCCTTCTCTGTCCCTCCCCCATCCTGTGACCTAATGACCTGCCCTGGGTTTTCCCCAGCTGTATGGCTACTGCTACCAGGACAGCGAGGACATCCCAGATACCCTGACCACCATCACGGAGCTGGGCGCCCCTGTGGAAATGATCCAGCTGCTGCAGACTTCCTGGGAGGATCGATTCCGAGTGAGCAGGGAGTGGAGCTCTGCCCAGGGTTTCTTGCTGGGATGATTCTCCCTTAGAAGGCCAGGCTTCCAGAGCAGCTTTGACTCCTCCTCAGCCCAAGGAGAGAGAGGGAAGGAAGCTGACTCAGCCATCTGCCAAAGGGTTAAGAAGCAAGACATAGAGGATCCCGACATTGTCAGTTCTCACTGCTTCATCCCTCCAGACATGTGCAGGCGCATGTATGCACACACACATAGCCACTATAAAAGGGCCAGTTTCCTGGTACCATAAACAACTAAGGTCATCCTGACCTCCCTCTGCTCCCATACATACTCAAGATGCAGCTTTAGGGAAGAGATTCCTTATCCTTAGACTCCCCTGCCTGCAGGGTCAGGCTAGCCAAGGGTTAATAAAATCACTGGCCTCCCCTTGAAGGTCCCTGGGGCCCAGAGAAGAGAAAGGCCAACCCCAAGCTCAGTTCAGAGGAAGGAGCCCAGTGTCCAGCAGGCCCTGTTCAGCCTGTGTCTGCCCTTCAGATCTGCCTCAGCCTTGGCCGCCTCCTCCACCACCTGGCCCACTCTCCGCTGGGCTCAGTCACCCTGCTGGACTTCCGCCCTCGGCAATTCGTGTTGGTGGACGGGGAGCTGAAGGTGACAGACCTGGATGATGCCCGTGTGGAGGAGACACCATGTGCAAGCAGTGCTGACTGCATATTGGAGTTTCCAGCCAGGAACTTCACCCTGCCCTGCTCTGCCCAGGGCTGGTGTGATGGCATGAATGAGAAGCGGAACCTCTACAATGCCTACAGGTACCCTCCACCCCGACTCAGGAGTTCCCACCAGGGAAGGAAGTCAAGGAGGGAGCCAGAGCCAGCATGGGGTCCAGGAGGCCAGCTAGGGAGGAAGGCTCCACCCTGACCAATGGAGTCACAGGGGCGGGGAAAGCCTCTGCCCAGTCAAGAGGGAATGCTCAGGCTTCTGATGGTAAGAACTAAAAATAGACAGGTCCAAGGAGAATCTGGGTTGGAGGGTAGCAGCTGGAGGCTTCTAAAAATAATGTCAGACTCAGGGGCTAGAACTGGCATTTCCCCTTCCCCTACCATGGCTTCTGACCTCTGCAGAGTTCTTCATGGCTAAAGCCCCAACCCTGGCCTCCCCTGGACTGGACTGCTCTGATGCTGGGGCTCAGTCAGGGGTGATGTGGGCTGGAAGGTGGAAAGAATGGGGAAACACACCTCTGGTCTCATTTGGGTCTGAAGTTAGATGTGGTCATATCTGTGCCCAGGCCTCTTCCCAAAGAGTAGACTCCCTGGTATATACTCAAGGTATGTCTAGTCACCAGGCCACAAAGGGATCAGATTCCCCAGCCACATTGGGTTCTGTCCCAGCTTGGGGTAAAGGAAGGATGTGTCTCCAAAGGCTGGAGCCCTGAGCCCCTAGTTTCTCTCTACACAGGTTTTTCTTCACATACCTCCTGCCCCACAGTGCCCCGCCCTCACTACGGCCTCTGCTGGACATCATTGTCAATGCCACAGGTAAGGCTCAGGGCCCATCTGCCTTATCACCCACCCCTCCCCCAGTGGGGAATAAGAATGACACAGGGTAGCATAGGATCCAGGACCCACTATCTCTTAGGGCAGTATTCTGAGGCAAAGACCCTCCCAAGCCCACCTACAGGGTCCAGGCCCTAGAGGGAGGTGGGCCATGGCTGGCTGCCTACTGTGGAAAGAAGTAGGAACCCAGGCACCCTGTTATAGCCACTCTGCATTCTGCAGGAGAGCTCACCTGGGGAGTGGACGAGACCCTGGCCCAGCTAGAGACAGTGCTGAACCTCTACCGGAGTGGCCAGTATCTGCAGAACTCTACCACAAGCAGTAGTGCTGGTGAGTGGCCCAGCAGGGATCCGGGTGCTGGGTGGGTAGGTGAGGAGCAGGTAGGAGGGTAAGTGACCCCCCAATTGGGCTAAGTGGCTCACCCTTCCTCTGGAGACCCTTGTCTCCAAGGCCATCCTGAGCGCTCAGTTGGAGTGACAGACTGTTGAGCCTTTACTTTGAGGTCCTGTCTCATGCTGAGCAAGAATACTGCCATTCTGCTTGGAACTGGGGCAGGGGCAGGGGTGCCAACACCGCCCTCTGAATAGCTTTAAGCCCCCCACCTGGGTACTGACTGTGTGCGTTAGCCCTGGACCTTCACTTTCCTCATCTATGAATTGGGTTCTGTATTACTCACCTCACAAAATTCTTATGGGGATTAGATGGCAGGTGAGGTGTGTAAAAGTAATTAGCACAGTTCCTATTACACAGCTGGAACACAATATGTGTTTGCTTCTCTTTCCTTCCTCTGCACTCCCAGGGCTAGGGGGACAGCTGGAGGTGGAGGGGGACCCCACACTGAAACCAGACAAGAAGCTTGCTCTCTCCCAGGGCTTGGGAGAATTCTAGCCACCGGTTACAGGCTGTGGTCCCCCTGCGGAAGTCCTTGGGTTTAGCTGTGGTTGGCAGGGGGGCAAGGGGTGGGCAGCCTCTGTATTCAAGGAGCTCTGGCCAGTCTTAGGGGTGGGGGAGCCCTCGTTAGCCCTGTAAATAAAGTTTAACGAGGTGAACAATGGCTGGCTCTGTCCCTGAGGACTCCGTTTATGGGGCCATAAATCACAGCCAGCCCTGGACTTTGGTCTAGTCCCTGGCAGGAGAAGGAGGCCGGAGGGTGGGATGGCCAGAGGCCCAGAGCTTCTGGATGATCAGTCCAGAACTGGGGCTCCCGGGCAGCAGGAAAGATGGGGTGAGCAAGAGACCTGAGGCTGAGCTGCTTTCTGATTGGGAGGTGTTTTCAGAGCCTCTGTAGTTCTTTCTGCATCCGGGGAGATCTCAGCTCCCTTCCCTGCTCTAGCCATGGACATGTTTGCATCCATTCCCATGCCTCTTAACCTCAGAACTCCCTGACTGTTCCTCTAGGCCTGTCTGAGGAGTTTGCCTGACCTCTGTCCCCAAAGCCAGGAGAAAGTTCAACTGAGGGGTGCTCTGACCTTCTGCAGCCAAGTGAGGCCTGCACACTAGCAACACAGGAAGCTGGTTAGAAATGCAGACTCTAGGTCCCGCCCACACCTCCTGAATCAGAAGCTGCATTTTAACAAGATTGCCCAGGGATTCACATGCTTATTGCTGTTTGAGAATTTTGCTCTAAATGTCTAAAATGCCCTGGCCTCGGCAGCCAGGTTGGACAGCCAGTAGCTCTGTGTGTCTGGGCCACATCTGTGTCCTCTTATCTTGTTGAACCAGTTCTGTGCCCTCAGATTTGAGAGCTGTGTATCTCTCCAAAACCAAGCCTGCACTTGATCTTCATTGAATGGTCAGCCCACGTCTCATGTTTGCTTCATCCCCACCCCATAGAATACCAGCGCATCCCAGACAGCACCATCCCCCAGGAGGACTACCGGTGCTGGCCATCCTACCACCACGGCAGCTGCCTCCTGTCTGTGTTCAACCTAGCAGAGGCTGTGGATGTCTGTGAGAGCCATGCCCAGTGCCATGCCTTTGTGGTCACTAACCAGACCACCTGGACAGGTGAGCAAGAGGGAGAGAACACTCCAAGGAAGGTGGTGGTTCTTCTCTGGAGCAGGTTGACACATGTGAGGGGATCTCTTCAGAAATCTGATGGGCAGTTCGGGTATGTTGGCACATGTGGGAACTCAAAGCCATGTGGGAGGCTGAGACAGGAGGACTAAAAATTAAAATTAATTTATAAATTAATTATAAATCAAAATTTTTTAAAAAATGAAGAGTGCTGGGAAGGTAGGTCAGTGGTAGAGTGTTTGCCTACCATGCGTGAGGCCCTAGGTTTCACCCTTAATACCCACTGCAAATAAATGAATAAGAAACCAGAGGGGAGGCTGAGAAAATGGAGAGATAAGTGTCTTCAAGGCACTTCAAGGAGAGTGGCCATGCCTCCAAGATAAGAACCAGCCTGACCTCTTACATCTCACCCCCCCAGGTCGGAAGCTGGTCTTTTTCAAGACTGGATGGAACCAAGTGGTCCCTGATCCCAACAGGACCACATATGTGAGGGCCCCTGGCTGACCTGTCTGAGGGCTCAACTGACGATCCTCTCCAGCTGGGCTTGCCTATGGTGGAAGTGACTTGCACTAGCAGGGCTGCATGTCACCTGGTAACCCCTGCAGACAAGAATGACATCCCAGACAGACCGATGTGACCAGGACAAACGTGCAATAATGCAAAATGTTAAAATGTGAGTTGACAAGGCTAAGTCTGAGACTGCTGGCTCCCAGACCAGGAATCAATGGTTGCGGGGGCGACTGCTATTCCAGCGCTCAGGGCTGTGAGCAAGGCTCAGGCCAGTCTGAACTGGAACAGCTCCGTGGGCAGCCCCATCACTGTGTTCCTAGTGTGAGAATGTAGCCAAAGCCCTAGCTGCTGCTGCCGCCGCTGCCACCATTGCTGCACATGCCACGGCAGGCGGGGGCTGCGTGGGGACAATGGGTCACAGAGTGTTCTCTCAGCTTAGCTCCAGAGAGGAAACTTGGCAGTGGGTGGGGATGCTCCAGGATGTAGGTGATCCTATACCGACAGGGCACACTCCCAGGCCAGCCCAGGGGTCAGGGGCAGAGGTGCACACATCAATATGAGCCAAGACTAGGGTGAAGGAGCAGGTTGCAGTTTGAGCCAGGACCTGGGGTGGGGGTGGGACTGGGACCTTTCTGCCTCATTTGCTTTCAGTGAAAGCCTCAAGCAGCCACACCGGGCTCCCCCCTCCTGGAGTTTGCATATCCAGAAGCTTTTGTACTTCTTGTTTATTAAATTGTTTATTTTTGTAAAAATAAATAAATATATATATAAATATAAATATCAGTTAATAAAATGATGTTTCGTGGCAAAAATTCTTCTAAGGCACAGTTTCTTGGGCTGTGATTTTCTGGTCCTTCATTGTGTCTTTGGTGTGTGTGTTGTGGGGTATGTGTGTGTCATGGGGCATGATGGCTTTTGAGGAGTGAAATCTCCTCAAAAGATGCCAAATGTCTCCAGACCCTACTTCCGTGGTACCTGCCTCCTGCCGTGGCCCTCCACCTCAATGTCCTGACAAAATACATGGGAATGCCTTTTCTCTCACGGAGGTTCTCATTTTAACTCATCCCAATTTTTCATGCACAGAGCCCTACCCAAAAGGAGTGAGGTCCCGATGGTGGGATGTTAGCCAACTCAGTTAACTGATGGATAAATAGCCCAGGAAAGAATTTGTGACAACCTCCAGGCAAATCAGCTTTGTTCTGCACAGGGTTGGACCTTGCCATTATCACCACTCGCCACCACAAGTTCAAGAAGGAAGGAACCAACCAGCTCTGGCACAATTAGACTTCCAGCCAAGCCTGGAGGGTCATTCAAACCTTTGTGGGCTTTAAAACAAACAACCAAACTCTAACTCGGAACCCACTTTCTCCTCAGCAGAGATGGTGGGTGTTATTTCTCAGGTACAACATGTTCCTGTAGTTCTAAGTGATTGAGGAACCAATATCAGCTCTGGAGTCCTCACCACAGGTACTGCTGTGCCCCCCAACTCTATGCCCAGTTCACAAACCCCGTATCTAGTTTCTGGTGTCCAGGCTTGTAACTGGGCAGAGGGGCAGAGTCAGAGTCGCCACAGCATCTCACACCGTGACTTACCCCAGTCAAATCCTGCCCAAGCTCACCACCCTCAGTCCTCAGGCCTCTGAAAAGGACCTTGGCTTCCATCAGCCTCCAGACTTCCATCCCCAGCTGAACTCAGGTGGCCCACCCTCTGTCATTCAGGATTGGATTTTGCATCACCCTCCATTATTTTCCAACTGTCACGTAGCCTATGGGGCTCTGAGGGCAGGAGGGGTCACGTCACAGATCTGGGCCTGAGAAGGTACTGGAATTGATGAGAACCTGAGGAGAGATATCTCAATCTAGGGGGAACACAAAGACCTAGGTATGATCAGCAGGGAGACCCATAGAGCCCAGGATCCACATGATTCAGTAGGAAAAGAAAAGGTTAAAGATGTGCCCAGCACTGCTTCCAGAAATTGAGAGGTTTCCAGATGACAGGTACACAGGCCCACTGAGAGGGGCAGAGGGAAATAACACCCACAGAGAGCCACACTCTGGCCTTAGGGAGGTGCAATTATTCCATTTTCACAGACCAGAAAGCTGAATCCCACATCACAGGTGCAGAATGATTTAGTAAGCATATAAACCCAGCCCTAATTCAAAACCTCTAAAGGGCAAAACTGCAGTCAGAGGACTCTTGAGTTAGAGAGACCTCTCTTTACTTTGAACATGTGACAAGCTAAAATGGAGGCCCAAAACGCATAAAGTCTTTTTAGAAAGATTTGTCCCACTGGGCACTCCTGTAATCCCAGAAACTTGGGAAGCTGAGGCCGGAGGATCACAAGTTCAAAGCTAGCCTCAACAACTTAGAGAGGCCCTAAGTAACTTAGTGAGACTCTGTCTCAAAATAAAAATTAACGAAGGGCTAACAATGTGGCTTAGTGGTTAAGCATCCTTGGGTTGGTACTAGTACAAAAAAACAAAAAGGCAAAAAGAAAAGATTTGCCCATAAATCTTGGGCATGGTGGACACCTTCTCCCTGAGAATGAGCCTTGCCTCAGAACCTCTTTCTGAGGACATAAATGGCCAGGCTCAGTCCTGCAGAGTTGAGAGAACAACATTTGCAAATGGAAGTGGAGAAGTGATGGAGTTCCCAGAAAGAAAGAGGATAGTGGGTGCATGCCTGAGGGAAAATCTTTCCTCCCCACAGATGACCATTGACATGCACAGCCACCTGTATCCCAGAAGACCTTCCAGTTCCTAGATGCATCTTGTTTCCTTTCCTGAGGAAGCCAGAACCATACCCCTTCCACCTCCTCTACAAGCCTATGCTGTTTCAACTCCACTGAAATGCAGTAACGCCCAGGTATATGAATGGGAGAAACATATTCACTTGAGGGAAGGTTTAGGAGGCACGTGCCAAAGGAGAGAAGCCAGGGGCATTGGTGGGAAAGACAGGTCCTTTCCAGAATTGGAGAAAGAGGAAGGGACACAGAGGGGCAGTGTTGTCTAGTGGTTCCCCATGAGGCTCTGGAGCCGGGCCAAGCTGGGCAGGAATCCTGAACAATTCTGCTTTTTTTCTCAGTGTTATCTGGCTGTGACAACTTCCCTGAGCCTCTGTTTCCTTATCTGCAAATCTTAATTGATCATATCTGCTTCACAGGAGCATTATGGGAATTGGATGAAATTATGTACATAAAGGTCTTAGCCAGTGTCAGCAACTGGTAAGTTCTCAGCAATACTGGCTGACACTGTCATTGTGTCATTATTAGTGGGCTGAGTGGTCGATGTTCATCCATGATCTGGCCTGGAAGAACAGCCCAGTCAGCTGGGGAGGACCAAGGCACAGCCCGACTGTCCCCACCCCCGTCTGTCCCCCACCCCCACTCCCCACCACCAATAGGGAGCACTGCCTTTGACAAGAGGAGGTGTGGCCCAGTTCTCCGGGTCAGTGCCCTGGGAGTTGAGTGTGTAGCAGACAGAAGGAGGAAGAGGATTAACATGAAAGCAGAAAATGGGATTAGGAGACCTCTGGATAATGTGCCCACCCGTCCCCCATCCATGACAACGGCTTCTTGCTTTCACTCCGTGGCTTCTGGAGCCTGGAGCTTGTAAGACTTGGTTGCCTTCTGCTCCTATTACCAGGAAAGGAGACTTGGAGGAGACTCACTCCATTTGCTAGAAAAGGGGGCTTTGCTGCTCCTGGCTACCAGCCAGGCCTGGCTGCTCTATGTACACTTTCTCATTCAGTCCTCATGGCAACTGTGAGATGGGTGGTGGTCCAGAGAGGCAAAGAGCCAAGATCCAAGCCTAGGCAACTGCATCCAGAAGCCTGTGTTCCCTCCCCTCCACCCAACACCCCTGAAGATCAGTGTCAGTGCACTATCAGTGATATCACTCACACCTGCCGCTGCCCCGGGAGGGATTCCAAGGCGCATACCCTGCCTTTGATGAGAAGCCACACAGGCAATTGAAGGAGACCAGATTCACCTTGCTTGCGGTTATTCCCTAAGTGTGAGAGTGTCCCCAAAGAACCTGACCCTGAAAGACCACTTTGAGGTCCACTGTGCAGGACTTTTATTTTTCTTGTTCACCTCTCTGTGACACAGCTACTGCTACTGTTACCTGCTACCCAAATGGAGAGAGCGTAATATCAGGGCAACTACGTGAAGGACGGGGACCATCCTTCCTAAAATTACCTCTCTCGTACCAGAGACTCCCTGGCAGCTGTGTTGGGGCTGGGAAGGGGGGATTCATTCTCCCACCCTATTCCATTCAAAGCCCTTTTATCCACCTTTCTTCTGGATCATGGTCCCTTGTTCTCCTGCCCCATGCACCTGTATCCACTCACCTGCCCACCTCTGCCTTCATCCCAGCTCCTGAATGTCTCTCCTGAGATGCAGTGACAAGACACCCCCACACTCTCTCTTATCCAGGGTTCCAGCAGCACAATGAGTAGTGACAAATGTTGCACACAAAGGGGAACGTGTGGAACAGTGCTGCCCCCTGGGGCTCACCGTCTCTAACCAAGGGAAGAGGTGGCAGCCATTACCAGGCCCTAGAATGAGAACACTGATGGAGACCTGTAAGAGGACACCACTCTCCAGGCTGTATATAGGATATAAATTACCTTTAAATGCTCTGGTCTTGTTCAGTCATTATTTTTTTCCTGCCATCAATAAAAAAATTTAAAGGCAGCCATTATTCTAAGAAATCTTGGATACTAGTTGGTATAAGAAATTCTAAAATATCAGATGTGCCCCCTGCCCATCAGGAGCTCACAATGTCACTAGAGTTGTTACAAAGATAGACAAATTCAACAAGGCAATATATAAGCTATGACTAAATGGCCATGAGGCTGATTTCCACCCATGACTTATGAAGGCAAAAGGGTTTGACAGTCATATCTCCAATCAGTAAGGATCAGTGAGCCTGGTGGTCCAGAAGCATCAACGCCTGCAGCAGAAGCCCTGCTGTGAACATTTTTTCCTCCAGGGAAAGACTTGTTTATCCTCACTCTTTACTTCTTATCTCTAAGCCGGTTCCCTATTTGTCACCAGACATTCTCCCCATTCCCATGGTGACTCAGCCTCCTTAACAGGCTTTGGTGTGGAGCTTTCCGAGGATTCTTGAGAGTGTAAATAGATTGTGTCTACTGTTACCCCCTTATCCATACACTTATTTGACCCTTCAAAGAGCTCTAGTAGATTAGGGAGGCATGATTTCTTCTTAGCAAGACAGGCTGCTTGCCTTCCACCGGAGGCGGAGTTGGCTCAAGTGCTTCATAATCCTGCCCTTAGAGGTTCTGTCGGCTTGCCTGGCGTCACAGGAAAAAAAAAAAAAAAAAAAACACGGTGGGCCATTTCCCAGATTCCCAGAGACCCCTGGTGCCTTCTGTTGCTCGGCGCCAGGTACCAAGGTACAGATCTCCAGAAAAGGCCCTTGTTTTGTATTGCCCGTCCATGATATTGATCTTCTTTATTGGCCCTAAGAGATTGGTGAGGAGACAGGAGGCAAAATAAAAATAAAATAGACAGTAGGCTTTGCTTTCCACTGCTTGGAGATTTAAGGCCCTGAATTCATCTGAACTTACGCAGAAGGTAGTAGTGAGGTTATCTGTATCAGATTTCATTTTATGACATCCACCTTATTTACACCACTCTCCAAGCTGTATATAGGATATAAATTACCTTTAAATGCTCTGGTCTTGTTTAGTCATTTTTTTCTGCCATCAATAAAAAATTTAAAGGCAGCCATTATTCTAAGAAATGACGACTATACTTAAGGCGCAGAGCTGTTGTAATTGAGGAAA